GGTTGGTGCGTCCGGGAAACGCCGCCGGGTAGAACCGCTTCCGGCACTGGCACTTTCGTTCCGCCTGTAGCAAGCGGCACACGCCCCTTTTGGCCAAGGCCCTTCCCTTCCACCCGCCTCGAGGCGTTGAAAAAAGCGTGAATCATAACCCGGCATCTGCATCGCCAGCAGGGCCTGCTGGGACCTCCCTGCGGGGCCCGGAACCCGGGGAGAGTCGGAGGGGCTGGCCGGGAGGGAGAGAAAGGACACCGAGCCGCGGTGCGTTCTGGGAAGGCGTGTTTTCATTGCAGGCTTTGTCGGGGCTCGGGAGGCGGTGCCGGCGCGGCCGAGCAGGGCGGAAGCGGAAGGAAGCTGCTGGGGGCGCAGGGTGACGGGTCAAATCTTTCCGGGAGGTCGCCACCCGTCTCCGCACGGGGACACCGGGCAGCCGCGGGCGAGGCCCCCTTCTCCGCACCCCTCGTAGGCCGGGCCGGAGTGAGCGAGGAGGCTCTGGGAGCTGGTGTCCTGGCTGCGGCCGGTGAGTGTTGCCGGGCAGCGGCGCCTGGGACCGGGAGCGAGTTGCCGAGCCGCTGCGCTGGAGAGGCTGGGCTCGTCGGGCGCAGCCCCGTCCCGGCTCCCTGCTGGTGTGGGTCATTGACGGAGTTTTCCGTGCGGCTCATCGCGGCATCTCCCAGGCTCTGTCCCAGCTCCTCGAGAGGCCGGGCGGGATCCCTGATAGATGGGATCTGAGGGGCAGGGAGGCAAAGTGGCTTGCCTAAGGGGTCTGTGGACTTTAACCCTGACGCCCAGTCTAGTGCCTTAACCACACCACCAGCCTGCCTTTCTGCTGCCGTTGGGGTTGGTGATGCTTGGGGAGTTGTTTGTTTCTCGTCTCACGTTTTCCTGAGAAGCCATTATTAATAACAGGTCATTAATATTTGTAACTGTACCCAGTGTTGTCATTACCGAGACAACACATGGTTAAAAGAGAAACTTAACGTAAAAAGAAAATGTATATGGAAATCTTTAGGCCAGGGGTGGGCAAACTTTTTGGCCTGAGGGCCACATCAGGATTGTGAAACTGTATGGAGGGCCGGGTAGGGAAGGCTGTGCCTCCCCAAACAGCCTGACCCAGCCCCCTGTATACCCCCTCCTGCTTCCTGCCCCTGGCCGCCCCCCTCAGAACCTGCAACCCATCCAACCCCCCCTGCTCCTTGACCCCTGACCCCCCCCCACAGGATGCCCCCAACACTAACTGCCCCTGGGACCCCACCCACATCCAACCTTCCCTTGCTTCCTGTCCCCTGACTGCTCCGACCCCCATCCACACCCCCGCCACCTGACAGGCCCCCTGGGACTCCCACATCTATCCAACCCCCCCTGTTCCCAGTCCTCTGACCGCTCCCCCCGCCGAACCTCTGCCCTATCCAACCGCCTCATGACTGCCACCCAGGATTTCTTACCCGTTATCCAACCCCTCCCCGCCCCCTTACCATGCTGCTCAGAGCAGCAGGAGCAACCGCCCTGCCAGAGCCAGTCAGACTGCTGCAGCAGGAGCAGGGACAGTGGGGAGGGGCCGGGGTCTAGCCTCCCTGGTTGGGAGCTCAGGGGCCGGGCAGGACGGTCCTGTGGGCTGGATGTGGCCTGCGGGCTGTAGTTTGCCCACCTCTGCTTTAGGCTGATGATTTGTGATAGAGCGCAAGGGTGCTAGACTGGATTATGGCTCCATTGTGATGTTTGCACTACAAACCTTTCTGTGAAAATCTTATAGTCTGCCTGATGCAGGATTGTGATCTGCATGGATGGACTGCTACACCTGCACAGATTGCAATGCATGATTAAGGCCTAAATAAACATGACTTACCAGGAGGACATGGAGAGGAGGGGAAGTAACAGTAATGAGAAAAATAAGGTTATGTAGATTTGCTGTGTGTTCAATTTCAAGTGTTAATTCAAACTTTTTTATGTTAATCAGACAATGTTGGAATTACTCATGATATTTGACATTGTTAATATTAATCAGGGAGACCACTAGACACCAATTCAACCAAAAATTCATTTATTAAGTCCAAAGGCCAAATGATATTTTGTATAATTGCACTAAACATGCCTAATAGCCTAAAAATAAGTAGTCGTTACACCCCGTACAGTAACAAAGTTACCATAGGCATGTGATCAGTGTATGTACAAATAGGATAGACTTTGGGAAAACTGTCTTGTCATAGAATCATAGAATATCAGGGTTGGAAGGGACCCCTGAAGGTCATCTAGTCCAACCCCCTGCTCGAAGCAGGACCAATTCCCAGTTAAATCATCCCAGCCAGGGCTTTGTCAAGCCTGACCTTAAAAGGAAGGAGATTCTACCACCTCCCTAGGTAACGCATTCCAGTGTTTCACCACCCTCTTAGTGAAAAAGTTTTTCCTAATATCCAATCTAAACCTCCCCCACTGCAACTTGAGACCATTACTCCTCGTTCTGTCATCTGCTACCATTGAGAACAGTCTAGAGCCATCCTCTTTGGAACCCCCTTTCAGGTAGTTGAAAGCAGCTATCAAATCCCCCCTCATTCTTCTCTTCCGCAGGCTAAACAATCCCAGCTCCCTCAGCCTCTTCTCATAAGTCATGTGTTCCAGACCCCTAATCATTTTTGTTGCCCTTCGCTGGACTCTCTCCAATTTATCCACATCCTTCTTGTAGTGTGGGGCCCAAAACTGGACACAGTACTCCAGATGAGGCCTCACCAATGTCGAATAGAGGGGAACGATCACGTCCCTCAATCTGCTCGCTATGCCCCTACTTATACATCCCAAAATGCCATTGGCCTTCTTGGCAACAAGGGCACACTGCTGACTCATATCCAGCTTCTCGTCCACTGTCACCCCTAGGTCCTTTTCCGCAGAACTGCTGCCTAGCCATTCGGTCCCTAGTCTGTAGCGGTGCATTGGGTTCTTCCATCCTAAGTGCAGGACCCTGCACTTGTCCTTATTGAACCTCATCAGATTTCTTTTGGCCCAATCCTCCAATTTGTCTAGGTCCTTCTGTATCCTATCCCTCCCCTCCAGCGTATCTACCACTCCTCCCAGTTTAGTATCATCCGCAAATTTGCTGAGAGTGCAATCCACACCATCCTCCAGATCATTTATGAAGATATTGAACAAAACCGGCCCCAGGACCGACCCTTGGGGCACTCCACTTGATACCGGCTGCCAACTAGACATGGAGCCATTGATCACTACCCGTTGAGCCCGACAATCTAGCCAGCTTTCTACCCACCTTATAGTGCATTCATCCAGCCCATACTTCCTTAACTTGCTGACAAGAATACTGTCCTGATATGTCCTGATATGCTCCAGTCTGACAAAGAACCTTCAGGTTCATGGCTTTGTTTTATACCCTTCAGCTAACTTGCTAGTTTTAGCAAAAACCCAGTTTGAAGCAGTTTATCCTTGCTGCCTTCCTTTTTTATCTCCTCCCCCATCCTTGCTTACCAGCAGAACAGGGGGAAGGTTTGTGCTCGTTTCTTTTAAGACCGTTTTTCTTTGTCTTGTTACTGCAGCTCTTTATTTTATTCATTACTTTTTGGACCATGCATCCTTCCCACATTGCAAATAATAAGTAATACTACTTATTATTCTTACAGCCTTATTTTATTTGCTATTTGGGGCCTTTTCCTTATTAGCCACAAACTGTAAAGCAAATATATTATTTTCTTCACCAAACTTAAGCTCACTTTAATTTTTTTAAATTTTTAATAGCCCTACAGACCGAAAACAAAAATACAGTGTGATGATCAAAAAGTCTATCTAGCGTGTGTGTGGCCACAGCACATCTTAAGCATTTGGACAAGATAAAAAAACCTGACACTTTGCACAACGCATAATCCCAGGAATACTGTAGGTATTAGTCCTGGGAGGTCTTATAGACCTAACAGCTGTAGTAATGATACTTGGATCCCAAGAGAGATTGTATTTGTATAAAATTTGTATACCAGTTTGTCCAACCTAGAGGAAGAGAGAAGTTAATGTTTTCCATTCTTTCTGCCCCTACCTCTCCCGAGCAAACTGCAGGATTTTGAGTATGGGCAGTTGGTGTTTTGCAGGGGAAGATTCTTCCTTGGCTCCAACCAGTCTCTAGTTGTCATGTGAAGGAGATAATGCGGGTCATGAGACATGACTTCTTTTCATTTCTCTGGTTGAGCTCCCAAATACAGCTTAAGATCAGCAAAAGCCTGTGTTTTTTGGGCTCTGCTCTTTTTTAGAATTGTTTCCTTGCTGACTGACGTTCAAGAGCTTGTCTTCTGGGATCTTGAGTCACTGAGTATTCCCTTGAGTCTGATTGCTATGTAATGGATTTGATGCTGTTGAAAACCTGAACTGGTATTATGCTGTTGCTACCAAACCATATTTCCGCCTCGGAATTAGAGGCATACTGTACAACTTCTGGAACTTAGCCCTGAGGTCCAGGAGTTTCAGCAACCATTTGGGCCTGAATATGGCCCATGCTTTTAAACTGAGTAGTTTATGGTTACAAAGTAAGTACTGGCATATTTTTTGTCTTAGAAATGCAGTACAGACCCGTTTACGCGCAGATATCAGGAGTCAAGCCATCACGACCGCTTGTTAATGGACCGCGGATTAAGAGGGCCATGCTGAAAAAAGTGTCTATGATTCACTAAGAAAAAAATGCCGTTATTTTCTGCTCTTTCTGGTTCGTATTTTTTTTCTTTCTTATGAAGTCTGTCATTTGCCGCAGATGAATCATATTTTCCGCATTTTGCTCCTCCATAAATCTTACAACAGTTTCTACAGCACTAAGGGCTTCTGTGGGCGAAATTTTGACCTTTTCAGTGACATCCTCACCATCAATTTCGTGGTCCAACTGAGCCTCGCAGCCCATTAATATTTCTTCCTCAGACAGAAATTCTGAAGTCGGGCAATCTTCATCCATCTCCAGCCACTCGGCAATGATTTCTGGCAACGTATCCAAACTAAAATCTTTTATCATTTGAAAGAGAAGTTTACCTTTATCCTCTTTTGTCTGTGTGCGTGTTTGTAGGAATCTTCTTCCGAAAATCCTTCAAAGTCTGGCTCTGAATCAGTGCCACTGCTGGAGTTTTCTGAGTCTGAGCCGTCTTTGACAGAAAAGGCATCACCGCGAGCCTTCATCCAGCAGTTTTCAATGGACTTTTGTTTTACTCCGTCCCAAGATTGTTTTAACTAAATAAATAATTTCCTTCATGTTTAACTGTTTCAGGAATTCGGAAATGCCTGAAGATGTGCATGACACGATCGCCAAAATCAGCTCCCGTTGATAATTGTTTTTAAAATTCTGAATAATGCCCTGGTCTAAAGGTTGAATTTTTAATGTTGTGTTGAATGGTAGGTATAACACTCAAATTTTTCCATCGCTTGATAACAATGATTCGGCTGGGGGATGGGCTGGACAATTGTCAAGTAGTAAAAGTGCTTTGGCTTCGAGTTTCTTCGACCGCAGATACTTACGAACAGCTGGAACAAAGCTGTTGTGGAACCAGTCATCGAAAATGTCTCGTCATCCAAGCATTTTTGCTATTTTTGAAATATTACTGGCAGTTTGGCTCTATTGAGGTTGTTAAAGCAGCGAGGGTTATGAAACTGGCCAACGAGAAGAGGGGCAAGCTTATGGCTGCCTGTCTTATTACTACAAAAAAGAAGAGTCACACGATCTTTTATCTTTTTAAATCCAGCTGTTTTCTGTGTCTCATAATTAAAGGCTAAAGTCTTATCAGGTAGCAGTTTTGCAAATAAAGCTGTTTCATCACAATTATAAAGTTGTTTTTCGTGGTATTCTTCATTTTGTAAAATAGATTTCAATTCAGCAGGAAACGCGTTCTCGGCCGATTCATCTGCTGATCAGTTTTCTCCAGACATCGATACCTGCGCTATGCCATGACGCTTTTTAAAATGACTTATAAACCCCTTGCTGGCTTGGAATGATTCATCCCCCATTAAATTTCCAAATTTTGTCGCTTGGGCTTGAAGAATTGGCCCACTTAGTGGCATTCCTTTCAGGCTTTCCTGAGCAAGCCACATGCGCTGGCCTTGTCTATTGTGGGTTTTGCTGAATAGCGCACACGTTTTCGCTTAAGCCCCGTGGCAGAATCGATAGTTTGTACAAAGCCATTCAGTTTAGATTAGTTTTTTAGCCATCCTCTGAGAGTAGATTCGGCAGTCCCAATATCTTTTGAAACTTTGGCCTCTGTTTCTCTGCTGTTGACTCGATCTATTGCAGCTAGCTTTTCTTCTACAGTATAGGAACGCTGATGCTTGCCCTCTGCCATAATATTAGGCATACGGTTAAAATTTTCTAATATAGTGTATATATTACTATAGAACTACTATATATTATATCTCTCTCTAGTGTGACAATGACTAAGCATGCGTGATACGTCTTTACCAATATCGGTAAAGACGTACAACACGTTTCTGCTCTGCACTTCTTGCTGATTTCTGTGTCAGTGAGTTAGTGAGCAAATCTGTAGCGTTACATAGCAAGTTCCTGTACCGCGTGTTAACGAGCCTCGCGTGTTAAATAGGTAGCAGTGGGAGGCATGGTGCTACCGCACGTTAAGCAGATTCGTGTGTAAATGGGTCTGTACTGTATACTTTATATTGTATGTAGATGTACATGTACAGTTTTAACATCTGTTGGCATTACTCTATTTTTGATAAAAATATGGTCCAATACAGTTCCCATTTAGGCCAGTGAGAGTTTTCCCGGTGACTTGAATGGAAACTGTTCAGATACTTAATTTGGATCATGATCTTTTTACACAGTATTTGCTTATATTGGCAGGGTGCAGCTGTAGACAATAGTGTAATAATGTTGAGAGTTCCAAGGAAATTTTCACTGAATGTCCTGAAAGCATCAAGTTTGTGCAATGAGGTAAGCTTTTCTCAGATTTTTATTTGCCAATGAGCATTTGCTAAATATTTTCTTTTAAGCAAAATGGGATACCTAGGCCAATCTGAATAAATATAAATATTTTAATGTCTGGAATGAAGCTTAATATTCATTTTGTTTCAAATATCAAAAAAAGTTTTTATTTTATAGTTTGTGGGGAAGCTCAGAAATAGGTAAATGGGTTTTCATGTGTATATCTTTACCTCAATAAAGTGGCAGTTTCTGTAAATATTTTGGTTTATACTTGTGATTCCAGTGAGGTCCAGTATACGATTTTGCCTCACTCCTTGTATGTGTTTAAATACTCTTGATACTGACAGTTTATATTTATTTCAGTATAGTCTTTGACTTGCACTTTCATTAGGCTTTACAAATTCTGTTGGGTATGGATTTGTTTTTGGTCTTTGACTCTAGCAAGTAATGCTAAGATGCCTGCAAGAGTCCAAAATATTATTCAGGATAGCTCACACAAAAGTATGATCAAATTATTTACACATCTGTTGCTGCAGATATCATTAATATTCGTTTTAGGAAAAGGCAGTGCAAGAAGTTACCATAGTTTCCAAAAAGTATTTCTACAAAGTAACTATTTTTAATTTTTTTTCTTTAAAGTGTACGTACTGCAAGTGGGCAAGAACGATGGTTGTAAAAAGACTAAAATCACAAGAATGTCATCAAAGAAATTACAGCTTTCCATCAGGTAATACTTTAAATTATTTTTTAATTTTTCTTAACTTGCCTTTCACTTATCTGTAGTAGAAAGAAAATGGGGGGAAAAAATCCTAAAATATACTTTCTTATAATCTTATGATTTTAAAACCATTGTGTATAACATTTAGTATATCAAGCAGGAAAAGAGCAGTGTAGAGAAGAGGCTTAAGGACAGAGCAGAGAGGCATTGCATAGCAGAGGGCATAAGAGGAAAATATAAATCCTTTAGCAAAAATGAAAAAGAATCAGACCATGAGGTAAGTGTTCTTGAGACCTGGCCTTTTGGCTTGAAGTGCTCAGTAAAGATAGAATGGCTAGTAATATCAAAATCTGCCTCGAGCATGTAGCATGTGAAGGGAGAGAGAGGGATTCCTGCTCAGATAGAGATGTTTTGAACTTCCTGATGGACAGTTTCGTTATTGAATCTTTGTTAAAAGGGGACTGGTGGGAAAATTTCTGTGAAAACAAAAAATTAATTTAAATTTGTTGTTAAATGGGGAGGACATATCTAGTGGGGTCCAATACTATTCAATATTTTCATTGAGGACTTGGGTAATGGAGTAGAGAGTATGCTTATAAAATTTGCAGGTGACACCGAGCTGGAAGGGGTTAGAAGCATTTTGGAGTCGAGGATTAGAATTCAAAATGACCTTGACAAATTGGAGTATTGGTCTGAACAGGATGAAATTCAGTAAAGACAAGTGCAAGGTACTACTCTTAGGAAGGAAAAATCAAATTTACAACTACAAAATGGGGAATAACTGGCTAGGCAGTAGTATTGCTGCAAAGGATCTGGGGATTATAGTGGATCTCAGACGGAATATAAGCCAACAGCATGATGTAGTTGCGAAAAAAGAAATGCGTCGTGGGACGTATTAATGGGTGTCATATGTAAGACAAAATAGATAATTGTCTTCCTCTACTCAGCAGTGGTGAGATCTCAGGTTTCATTTATAGACTATGAATTTAAATTTTGACCATTGCTTTTTTTTTTCTGCAATAGGAGATGTCAAATCTTTGCGTTCTATCATTACCCCTCCTATATCTAAGTAAGTACTGTCTATTTTCTGTATGTAAGCAATAGATATCATAGTGGTGTGTGTTTCAAAAGAACCACAGAATACTGTAGTGACCACTGCTTCAATCTACCCATGTTCTAAATTGCACTTGATAGCAGTTCTTTTTTTTTTTTAATGGGGAATCAGGGATATATTCTAGGAATAAATGTAAGGAAGCGGGAACCAGTTGTGGAGGGGGTTTCAGGTTGGTAGAATGGGAGTCTTTCCATTGACTTCAATGGGCTCTGGATTGAACCCTCAGTGGAAAGGTCAATGTATATACTGATTGGAAGTCAATCTGTTCTGATCTTGGTAGCAGTGGTTGCCAGTGAGAACCTAGTGGCATGCAGTCTAGCTGTCTGTTCTGATTCCAGTGCTTGATATCTGAATATAAACTGTAGTGCAAACATGCGTTCCCTCATTTTAATCTTCTTAGTATTGTGCCCATTTGTTTTGAAAATGGGTGATTAGTGGTGATGTGGAAGAAAGCCTGGAGCTATATTTCTACCATATTTTACCATCGAAGTGTTATGAGTATATATACTACGGTTATGCACTAACTACATCATTTGTGCAGTGAATGGGGAAAAAAGCTACCTCTGTTGATCATGAAGTCATTTAATTGATCAAAATGACAATATTGCTGAATAAAGAAACATATGCATTAAATGCCTTTGCTCGTTTTATGCAGGATCCGTAACATTGGCATCATGGCTCATATTGATGCAGGGAAAACTACAACCACAGAGAGAATGTTATACTATTCCGGATACACAAGAGCACTGGGAGGTTAGAACTGCTTTTTTTATTTTAGTAGCTTTGAGAAATTTAGCAAAAATTAATATAAAATTAGAGGTTGTCCTGTAGAATATGTTTTATCAAATATAATCTGTCATTTCGATATTATACTGAAATACAATGAAAGCACGATGCATATTTCATTATATAGTACAATGTATAACACTAGGGCAGTAAGAATCTTGACAGGTTTTCAGTTTTTAATTCGTAAACAGCTTTTAATTGGGTTAACTTCAAATTTCAGGATCCCCCTAGTTTATCTATTTTGTATTGTTCACAGAATATTGTAGCCAAACTCAGATAGAAATGCTAGCGAGATCCTCAGTTTTGCTCCAGCATGCCAAGTAACAAGGACAGAGTGGTATAAAAAGTCCCTAAAAGCCTAATATCTGTCCAGGGAATGATTTTCCTGGCACAGGAACTGAAACAGAAAGCTTTGAGCCTGCATTCTTTGTAAGCCTGGACATAGGGGGGCATGATGGAGGGTAGACTATAGCAAAGTTTCTGGGCAGTACCTGTTGCCCCTAAGGCAGCCCAAGGAAGCTGCATAGACAGGCCCAGCCTATCTCCAGCCCTTGGAATAGCTCAGTTTTGGAAAAACTGAAGATCGGGGTGGCACAAACCTGGCATACTTTAGCCTCCCACCCTCCTGTGTTGTGAGTTCTGTGCTGCACTTGTTAACTGGAACATCACAGAATCCCATCCATTAATTCTACAAAAATAAAGCCTCCAGGAATGTTCAGCTGCGCCAGAGATCCCAGTTGCTGAACGTTCTGACGCACTTGTTTGGGAAAGAAGGGCTGCCGCTTTGACTGTAACAATATTTATCAAAAAGCAGCTTTAAGATAGATTTTAAAACATTAAAATAAAAGTAATCAGGGTGCATATAGTAAATGCTCCCAGTGATATTCCTTTTTGTAACAGTGCCTTCTGTTCGCAGGTTTTGTGTTTTTGTCTTGCTATTTACATTTTGCACAGTAGCAAAAACGCTGTTGTTGGCAGCACTTGACTGTGGTTTTCCCCACTGAGTTGTTTGAGAATTTATCAAGTATTCCACGAGGATGCTGAATTCTCTTTCCTGTGTTCATTTAGGCTGGTGTCTGAGAACAGCATTATGAGTGGGGTCAGCAGTCTGATTATAAACTAGTAGGCATTCAGGATGAGAAACTAAGTATAAAGTAAATTAATATTTAGGAGAAGAAATAGGTACATCTGTGTTAAAGTGTTTTGGCTTCTTACTGCTGGGAGGATTTTGTATTAATATATCAAAGAAGCAAATGCAAATGAAAGCAAGAAAGATTGAATAAATGCAACTGGATAATAGTTCCTGGCCCTGGATTCCCCATGCGGCAAGAAGCTGAAGTAGCTGGCTCTACACAACCTGCTTGCCTGGCCTTGGCATAGGCAGTATTTTGTGGGAAAGATGTGTGGCACGAGCACTGCTGTGCTCTGGTGATCTCCAGCTGCTGGAAACTGTTGGGGGCTATCTGCCAACACAACTTAAAGTAGCTCTGAGATGGTTTTAAAGTTACATGGGAGTTGGGGGGCATAAACCAGCCCATATCAATCCACAGGACTGAGGGGAGTGAACATAAAGGTGGCATAAGTTTACCACTCCTTGGCTGCATTCAGCAGTGTTCTACCACAGCTGAGATTTCAGACATGAGTGGGGAGGTGAGCTTTATTAGATTTATTTATTTATTTAGAGCATTTGTTTTCTAAAGAGGAGGAGTTTAGTTATCAGCCTTATCATTCTGTTCTATTAGTCTGGAAAAGAGAAGACTGAGGGGGAACATAAGTTTTCAAGTACGTAAAAGGTTGTTACAAGGAGGAGGGAGAAAAGTTGTTTTTCTTAACCTCAGAGGATAGGACAAAAAGCAATGGGCTTAAATTGCAACAAGGGAGGTGTAGGTTGGATGTTAGGAAAAACTTCCTAACTGTCAGGGTGGTTAAGCACTGGAATAAATTTCCTAGGGAGGTTGTGGAATCTCCATCATTGGAGATTTTAAGAGCAGGCTAGACAAACACCTGTCAGGGATGGTCTAGATAATACTTAGTCCTGCCATGAGTGCAGGGGACTGGACTAGATCACCTCTCAAGGTCCCTTCCAGTTCTATGATTTTCTGTATCGGAAGCAATTTTCATGGCTTGGAAGTATACAGAGTAAATATGGTCTAGGAGAAATGATCATCATCTTTACTTTGGTCCAAGACAGGTAATTCAAAATGTAAAGTTATGTGACCAAACTGAAATGGTGCATATGTTCATACTGATTAGATGTCGATGATGGGGACACAGTGACGGATTTCATGGTACAAGAGCGAGAACGTGGCATTACCATTCAGTCTGCTGCTGTTACTTTTGATTGGAAGGGCTATAGAATGAACCTGATTGACACACCAGGTACAGTATTTTGAATATGTTCTATCAGGTTTTCTCCTGTTGGTAGTGGGGAGGAATAGATGGGCTCAGGTAGCTTAGAAAGTGAATCTTGGTTTTAAAGTTTTGTGCAATCTCAGAAGGTTTAGTTGGTTGGATGCTGGACCCAACTGTTGGTGTTGTTTTATAAAGAACAAATTAAAGAATATTTAGATAAGTTAGATGTATTCAAGTCACCAGAGCCTGATGAAATTCACTCTAGAATACTTAAGGAATTGGCTGAAGCAATTTTGAAGCTATTAGCAATTATCTTCTAGAACTCAGAAATGATGGGTGAGTTCTCTTAGGACTGGAGAAGGGCCAACATAATACCTATGTTTAAAATGGGGAACAAAGAAGACCTGGGAAATTATAGATCAGTCAGCCTAACTTTGATACCTGGAAAGATACTGGAGCAATTTGTAAGCACTTAGAGAATTATGGGGTAATAAATAATAGCCAGCGTGGATTTATCAAGAACAAATCTTGCCAAATCAACCTCATTTCCTCATTTAACAGGGTTACTGACCTAGTGGATGTGGGGAGGAAGAGGGAAGCAGCAGATGTGATATATCTTGATTTGTAGAAAGCTTTTGGTACAGTCCTACATGAGTCTCCTAAGCAAACTAGGAAAATGTGGTCTAGATGAAATTATTATAAAGAGGGGTGCATAACTCGAAATAGTTATCAGTGGTTTGCTGTGAGGACATATCTAGTGAGTCTTGCATGGGTTAGTCCTGCATCTGATACTGTTCAGTATTTTCATTAATGACTTGGATAATGGAATCGAGAGTGTTCTTATAAAATTTGTGGATCATACCAAGCTGGGAGGCATTGCAAGCACATTAGAGGACAGGATTAGAATTCAAAACAACCTTGACAAGCTGAAGCTGAATTGATCTGAAATCAGCAAGATGAAATTCAAGTAAGATAAGTACGAAGTACTACGCATATGAAGGAAAAACTCAAATGTACAGCACAAAACGGGAAATAACTTGTAAGGCAGTAGAACTGCTGAAAAGGATCTGGGTGGATCACAAATTGAATATAAGGCAATAATGTGACAGTTGCGGAAAAGACTAATATTCTGGGGTGAATTAACAGAAATGCCATATGTTAGACTGGAGGTAATTTACTTGCTCTACTTGGCACTGGTGAGGCCTTAGCTGGAATACTGTGTCCAGTTCTGGTTGCCACAATTTAAAAAAGATGTGGACAAATTGGAGAGAGCACATAGGAGAGCTACAAAAATGATATAAGGTTCAGAAAACCTGATTTACGAGGAAAGGTAATAAATACTGGGTGTGATTAGTATTGAGAAAAGAAGACTGAGGGAGCACCTGATAACATTCTTCAAATATGTAAAGGGCTGTTACAATGAGCATGGTGATCAATTGTTTTCCATGATGGTAGGCCAATAAATTATATGCTTAATCTGCAGCAAGGGAGATTTAGATTAGATGTTAGGGGAAATTTTCTAACTATAACATAGGTAAATACTGAAATAGGTTACCATGGGAGGTTATGGAATCCCCATCACTGGAGGTTTTTAAGAACAGTTTAGAAAAACACCTGTCTGGGGTGGCCTAGGAATACTTGTCCTACCTCAGCATGGGGGCTGGACTCTCAAGGTCCTTTGCAGCCCTATATTTCTATGATTCTGTAATGAGTATATGAGAGCCCATAACACTGGATGTGAGCATTTTTATAAACTTAAAAAAGTGTTGCCATTCTAACATGGTGACAAACGTGTTATCTATCTTACTACTTTTTACCTGTTTGGATTATGACATTGCGTAATGTAAATCATTTAGGTCATGTGGACTTTACAGTGGAAGTTGAACGTTCCCTGAGAGTGTTGGATGGGGCAGTGGCTGTATTTGATGCTTCAGCTGGTGTGGAGGTAAAAATTACTCGCAGTGAAGATTTTGCAACATGTAATGACTTAAAATAGGCTCAAGTAGCTTCTTCTGAGACCCTGTTCAGTGTGAATGCGGTTTTTGCTCTGATGGTTTCAGTCAGTCAAAGTTTAGTTTCAGACAGCCGACCTAATTTTGAGATCTGATTTCATGTGCTTGTTCCTGATGACAGGGCACAAATAAGTGTTTTCACCATTGGTCTTTTGTAACAGATACAGAGATTGAGATCTTTAAGATGTTTTGGGCTAGCTTCATCTGTGGGAAGAAATAAGTAGCTGTTCATTTCTCACATCAAATTTAATTGTAGAGAATTACTTTAATTCTCAGCTAGAATGCTGTTTCTCCTTGGAGGTTCTCCAGGTCCTGCTTGGAGTGTCTAGTATGACCATCAGATCAGAGTACAGAAGTCTTGGGGACAGCCCATTATTTGAGTTTCCTTTGTGGCACAGTATGTGCTGCCATGTTGGAGAGACGCTTTTGATTACCAACAACAAAAATAGAGCTTAAGGGTTCTAATCATCAACTAATACATGGAACACTTGTATTAACTTCCCCCATGTGTTAAGTGACTAGACTTCAATATTTGAACTATTTCTAATATACCAGATTTAATTTGCTTTAATAAAAAAATATTAGAAATGCCCAGCAATGTGCAGGTTGTATTGATTGCTGCTGTTATGCCAACCCAATTGCAGTAAAAATCGGTGGCCTATCCATAGCTATACAAGTGTTTACTTTGCATGCACTTTGACATGTTAGCAATAATATTTATAGTGTGCATACGTATTAGGTTTTTATTCCTTATGGAATCCCCCACATCACTTAGATTGCTTCCATTTTCCCCTCATTTTATCCCTGGCATCCTTGAGGCCCCAACCCGGGGCACAGTCATTCCTTCCACCTTTGAGAAGCCTGGATGGGACAAGGCTCATCAATGCTGCAGTTTAACAGGTCAAGGAGTAGTGGCTGAGCGGTCCCTTCCCCTGCATATGCTGATCTCACTGCCCTTGCAGCAAGGGAGCAAGAGCTCAAGATGAGAAAATTAATCTGGGTCTCGTAAATCAGTGAGCTGCCATTCGGCCATCAGGGCAAGCATTTTGATGTTTTCTGTCATTTTTCTTTAGGCACAGACTCTAACAGTATGGCGACAAGCAGACAAGCATCATATACCACGAATTTGTTTTTTAAATAAGATGGACAAAAATGGGGCAAGGTATGAAGACCACAATTTTATTTATTTATTTATAAACGATAAGCACACTACAGGGGGGCTGGTTTGAGAGAATATTTCTAATTAGAATTAAGGCTATGTTTTTTGGTCATGGATATTTTTAGTGGAAGTCATGGACAGGTCACAGGCAATAAACAATCACAGAGTTCTATCTCTGACTTTCACTAAAAATAGCCCTGACAAAAGGAGTAGGCAGGTTCTGCACCCACTGCTGCGGTGTATGGGAGCTCTAGGGTCCTCCTGCCTGCAAGGTTGGCCTGCAATGGGGACCCCTTGCCACGGCTGGGCAGCCGCAGGGTCCGCCGGGCAGCCGCAGGGTCCGCCAGGCACCCAACAGAGGCTGGGCAGCTGTAGGATCCCTCCGGGAGTCCCCGCTGCCTGCTGGCTAGACAGCTGTGGGGTCCCGTCATGGCTGGGCAGCTGCAGGGAGTCCACCCTGCCCTTTGCCACAGCTGGGCAGCTCCGGTCTCCCAACCAGGGCAGGGGCTGGGAGCTCCAGCCCTGGGGCAGAAAATATCACGGAGGTCAGTGGAAGTCATGGATTCCATGACCCCTGTGATCTAATCGTAGCCTTAATTATAATGAAGCGGAACATTTTATGAAATAGAGTTGAAAATATCACAGTGGGTGTGGCCAGCAAAAAATAATAATGCTAAATCTTATTCAAAAGATATTTTTTTTTATTGTGGAACTAGTTTAGCAATAAATAAGAAATATTAAACCAATGGATAAACTGATGTGTAGCATTAAAGTTGGCTAACTCTTCTTTTTAACTTCTGTTATTTTTTTTTAATATAGTTTTACTTATGCTGTTGACAGTATCAAGCAAAAGTTGAAGACAAAACCTTTGCTTTTACAGGTAAACTAAGAAATTTAATGTTAATTATTTTTTAACTTTATTTTTATTGTTATAAACAACCAACAAATAGTGTTAAATAGCATATAAATAACAAAATGCAATGCTCATTATTTGCAGTGTTAATAATTTTACTGTTGAACAAATCTGCATGTGACAGGTAGGTTTTGTATTCATGCTAGTGTTTCCTAATTGTGTAATTTTCCTTTCTCTTTACAGTTGCCAATTGGTGAGGCCAAGACCTTCAAGGGACTGGTTGATGTAGTGACCAAGGAACACATTATTTGGAACCCTGCTTCTAGTCTGGATGATGGAAAAGTTTTTGAGCAAAAACCCCTGACAGAAACTGAAGATCCTGAATTGTTAAAGGATGTCAACGATGCAAGAAATGCCTTAATAGAACAAGTAAAGTTTCTAAAGTAAATATGTAAAGTACTTACACAGTATTTTTTAAATTAATATATTTTTATTAGGGCTATCAATTAATCGCAGTGAACTCACGTGATTAACTCAAATTAATTGTGATTAAAAAATCGCGATTAATCATAGTTTTAATCGCACTGTTAAATAATAGAATACCAATTGAAATTTATTAAATATTTTGGATGTTTTTCTGCATTTTCACGTTGTATTCTGTGTTGTAATTGAAATAAAGCGCATATTTTTCATTCTAAATATTTGCACTGTAAAATTATAAACAAAAGAAATTAGTATTTTTCAACTCACCTCATACAAGTACCTGTAGTGCAATCTTTGTCATGAAATGTAGATTTTTTTTTTGTTTGGTTACATAACTGCACTCAAAAACAAAACAATGTAAAATTTCAGAGCCTACAAGGCCACTCAGTCCTACTTCTCGTTCTGACAATCGCTAAGAGAAACAAATTTGTTTACATTTACAGGAGATAATGCTGTCCTTTTCTTATTTACAATGTCACCAGAAAGTGAGAACAGACATTTGCATGGCACTTTTGTAGCCGGCATTGCAAGGTATTTACATGCCAGATATGCTAAACATTCGTATGCCACTTCATGCTTCAGCCACCATTCCAGAGGACATGCTTCCATGCTGATGATACTCATTAAAATAATGTGTTGATTAAATTTCTGACTGAACTCCTTGGGGGAGAATTGTATGTCCCCGGCTCTGTTTTACCTGCATTCTGCCATATATTTCATGTTATAGCAGGCTTGGATGATGACCCGGCACATGTTGTTCATTTTAAGAACACTTTCACAGCAGATTTGACAAAACGCAAAGAAGATACCAATGTGAGATTTCTAAAGATAGCTACAGCACTCAACCCAAGATTTAAGAATCTGAAGTGCCTTCCAAAATCTGATTGGGACAGGGTGTGGCGCATGCTTTCACAAGTCTTAAAAGAGCAACACTCTGATACGGAAACAACAGAACCCAAACCACCAAAAAAGAAAATCAACCTTGTCCTGGTAGCATCTGACTCGGATAGTGAAAATGAACATGCGTTGATCCACACTGCTTTGGATTGTTATCGAGCAGAACCCATCATCAGCATGGACGCATGTCCCCTAGAATGGTGGCTGAAGCATGAAGGGACATATGAATCTTTAGCACATCTGGCACATAAATATCTTGCGACACCGCCCACAACAGTGCCATGAGAATGCCTGTTCTCACTTTCAAGTGATATTATAAGCAACAAGCAGGTAGCATTATCTCCTGCAAATGTAAACAAACTTGTTTGTCTGAGCGATTGGCTGAACAAGAAGAAAGGCTGAGTGGACTTACAGGCTCTCAAATTTTAGTGTTTTATTTTTGAATACAGTTTTTTTGTACATAATTCTACATTTGTAAGTTCATCTTTCATGATGAAGAGATTGTACTACAGTACTTGTATTAGGTGAATTGAGAAATACTATATATATTTTTTTTACAGTGCAAATACTTGCAATCAAAAATAAATAGAAAATGAGCACTGTACACTTTGTATTCTGTGTTGTAATTGAAATCAGTATATTTGAAAATGTGGAAAACATCCAAAAATATTTAAATTAATGGTATTCTATTATTGTTTAACAGTGCGATTAATGGCGATTAATTTTTTTAATCGCTTGACAGCCCTACTCTGTATATCTACACTGCTTTCCTTCCATCAAAAGATCTCAAGGCACTTCATGAACATTAATAAATTAGGGCCCAAACCTACTCTGACCAAAGTCAGACAAAACTGCCACTGACTTGAGTGTAAGCAGAATTGGGCCCTTTAGTCTCGCAACACCTATGTGACAACATAGGGATGACAAAACTAAAGTACAGAGAGATTAAATAACTTGGCCAAGCTCATGCAGGAAGTCCATGGCAGAGCTGAGACTAGAAGAACCAATATTTCCTAACTCCCAGTTCTTTGTGTTAGCTATCCTTCCATTTTGCAGATTGCAACTTTTGGAATCTTTTCAGCACTACTGTGTTATGAAGACAAGATATAAACTCCATCTATTTCTGTATAAAAATCTTGAAACACACAGGTGGTACAGTTGGATCAGTTTAGGTTGCTATTTTTTGGGCCCAGAGAATGAATACAGTATCACAGTGGTTCCTTCTGGCCTTAAATTCTATGACATTTTAAACAGGGCATCGTCTTTGAGTTGTCTGTTCAGCGCGTCTTTTTCCTTTGCTATAATTCTAATGTCACATACTTTGGAATAAACTCATAAATTGTAATAGAGGGGTTAGCCATATCTGAATGATTTTGCTGCATTTCATTGCGGTTTTTTCTCTCAAAATACAGGGATTTAGTGCATGCTGTTAGCTCTGATATTTACAAGAGTAATGTTGATTGGAGAATAAGGAAACTAATGGATAGTTTTATAATTTCTAATATTTGTAGTTATGCAAGTTAAAATTGTGGTATAATCTGACTTACTGTAGTGGTCAAGGAACAGCCCTCCACCCACGCATTTGTAGCACTGCACAACTGGCTAAGTAGATGATTGAGGATTTTCAAATTCTTCTAAAACATCAGCTATGGGAGATGGCGATGAAATGATCGGAGTATCAGTCTGAGAGTTGGGAGATCTGTTTTATGTTCCTCGCAAAGTCACATTAGGAGGATCATTTAACCACCTAGTTCCTCAAATTCTCCAGTTGTAAAATGGGGGTGATAGTGCTTCACCATTTGTCAAAGGGATTTACATTGGAATGAATAATAAAAAGCACTATATAAGGGCAGAGTGTTTACTGGTCCTTTGCAGAAGCTGGATATAAGATCTGATGGACCAGTAATGTTGTTTGATTGAATAACTTTGTGTGAGAGCTGTCCACTTAATGCTGATCTAAAATGTAATAGTTGGAATACAAATCTTGTGGGGAAAATTTGTAGCATTTTCCTTTCATTTAGTTAATGAAGTAAATTTATTACTTTTCATGTTTTAGCTGATTATCTGTTTTCCATATATATATGTGTGTGTGTGTGTGTGTATATATATATATATTTCAGTTTTAGCTGATCAGTGGCTCTGTTAGTCATAAGAGGGAGCATAATCCTTTACAGCTGAGAAGCATTTATTCTAATTGAGCCCTTCACAGCTGTCACTGTTGGCTGAAATCTTTCAGTCTGAGAGATGATGGACGTGCATTATCTGTTGGTCTAATACGTTGTCCAGCAACTTTGTCAGCCTGCAGTTCTCACTTCTTGAAGAACCATTACCCCAGAGGCTCTGATTTTTCTCGTTGTGGATTCACTCTCCAGACAGTCCCCCAAAATCCCAGATAGCAGTCTAAAGTACCTAAAAGGGTCTGAAAAGGCAGTTGGGCTAGGTAGAGAGTGCATATTAGCAAGTTTCATCAATTATTGGGAGTGGACTACATTCACCCTGATCAAATTGGCCCTGTCAACACTGGTTCTCCACTTGTGAGGTAACTTCCTTCTCTTCACGTGTCAGTATGTAATGCCTGAATCTGTAATTTTCACTCCATGCATCTGAAAGAGTGTTTTGTTTTGTTTTTTTTTACCCACGAAAGCTTATGCCCAAATAAATTTGTTAGTCTTTAAGGTGCCACCGGACTCCTTGTTGTTTTTGTGGATACAGACGAACATGGCTACCTCCTGATATTAGCAAGTTGGACATTTTAGCATGTAATGTTCATTTATTATTTCAAAGTTTTTTTTCCTCATAACACAGCAGATTGCTTCAGTCTACTTTTTTTATTTGGTAGCATACTAAAGTATCTATTGTTATAAACTAACAGATTCTGTAACATAAGAGGGAAACATTCATTTTAACAACGTATTCAAAATTGAAATTTTCTAAAATAAAACTGCTTTTATTCAAAATTCAGCATCTCAATAATTCATATTCCATCAATGTTGTTAGCTAATCTTGTCAATTTTTCAATTTTATTGTGATAAATGTAAATTGTTTGCAAGACTCTGAATCCATGATCTCCAATGTTTGCAAAAGCTTCATTCTGCATTAGTTTTCTGGCTCAGATAGGTAGTATTGCTGGGCCAACTGTGGAATAGTATAGTTACTGATAATGCAGAAATATTCTCTCTTGCAGGTTGCAGATCTGGATGATGAATTTGCTGAGTTGGTTCTAGGAGATTTTAGTGAAAATTTTGACTTACTACCAGCTGATAAGGTACATTTTTACCATCCAGTTACTATGACTGTATGTTTTTATTAGTTGTCATTCTGATTATATTTTTTTCTGTTGTGCATGTGGATTAAGTGTGATGTGGCAAGCATGCATTCTGTGTTGACCAGTGCTAAAATAAATAAATGTTTAAATTTCAGACAAAAGCTACCATAGCCAGCTGTAGATCATGTGAAGAAGTTTTTCCTTTTTTTTTTTTTTTTTTTGGTACTAAAGCCAGTTTAGATGGTGATTAAGGTGCTGTGAATTTAACAAGCAGTATTATACTCAAACTGTATAATGTAAGGATTTCATCTGATATTGCTATTGAATCTGATTCTCAAACATGTTGGACACAATTAATAAAAATAAGTTAATTTGATCATGGGTGATTTTCGTTTAAAGTTACCTGGATATTGGAGGAAGAGGCTAAGGAAGGGAAAATAGAACATCCTATGCAGCGGGCCAGTTTCCACTTTGAGCAGGTCTGGATTTACACCAGTGTAATTGAGAGCAGAATCTGGGTGGTGTGAATTGATGGGATGTTCAAACATCCCAGGATGGATGTCTGACACAGAGTCCCTTGATTGACTTTCCTCTTATAGGGGATGGGGGGAAATAGTGACCGCCTTATTGACATTTATTATTACCACCACCTTAGTGTGCCTATGGGGCCCTCGTCATAGCCCAGGACCATGTTGGGCTAGATGCTTTACAAATACACAACAAAAAGATGGTCCTTGCCTTATGTGACTTTTGTTGTTGTTCTGAAGTCATGGGGTCTGGGGCCCAGGGGCTCTTGTCTGTTGCAGCACCTAAACATGCAGTTGTTTTATAGTCTGATCCATAGCCCGTTGGAGTCAGAGGAAAGACTCCAGTGGGCTTTGGATCAGGATCTTGGAGGAGGCTAGTGTTTTTGAACAATTTTGTTACCTTGATGTGAGTTTTGTACAACTGTATTTAAAGTAGTTTGAAATACTTTCTAACCTTCCTGAGATCAAATATAGACCTGCAGTCCCCTTTAAAATGTAAGGAACGCAATTAAAATGTGGGGCACAGTATTGTCACTTGTATATTCCAACAGAAAGGTTAACTGTTAAAATCAAAACGAGCCAGGGTGGAGCAATTTTAAATCAAGATCATTTTATTTTTATTTTTTATTTTAATATCAGGGATATAAATCAGTTGGAGGCTTTGTAGTAAAAATAAAATAAAGCTAATTGTAAAATTTGTGCTATTGCAACTTTAGATTAGAATTAATAATGAACTTCATTATAAAGTCTGTGGATTTTTTTTTTTAAGCCACTGCAGAATATTTTACTGAGGCTTATACAACTGCTATAGGCAAAAAAGCAAAATATTGAAAATCAAGGCCCTGATGCTGTAACAGTGAACTAGGTACACAACTTCTCATGTGCTTAGAGTTACACATGTACATAAGTGTTCGCAGCGTCAGGAACTAAAATTGTATTTGAAAAAAAAAATTCTCCCCAAAAATATTTCACTTCAAAACAGATTGCTTCATTGTTCACACTGAAAGGTTATTTAGAGTTTCACTAAGTAATTGTGAACTTACTTTGTACAAACATATCAAAATTTTCAAAAACAGGAGTCTCAAGTTAGACTCCTAAGCTCATATTTAGGCATCTACGGGTAAGGTTTTCAAAAGAACCTAACAGTATGTCTATACAGGAAAAAAAGACTCACGGCAGCAAGTCACAGAGCCCAGGTCAACTCAGAGCCCTATGGGGGTAAAAAGAGGTGTGTAGATGCTTAGGCTAGAGCCTGGGCTCCAAGCCTGAATGTCTACACATGGGTATCTTTAGATCCATAGGACGAACCTCGCAAGCCTGCGTCAGTTGATTCAGACTCTGAGATACGCTGCCATGGATTTCCCGCTCCCACTTCCCTCCCTCCACCCGCCCTGGTAGTCATACCCTAAGTGACTCAGGAGCACAAGTCCCATTTGATGCAGACGCAAACCCTGATGAAAGGAGTATAGCCTGTCTGAAGCATGTCCACTTTCACTTTCTTCACTTGTGAAAGTCATGATCTCATTTATTTTTGTTGGCAAATACAGTATTGGGCTATTTGCATGTCAATTTTGTGTTTGAGTGTGTGGTGGTCTCACCGTAAGGCTGTAATAATGGCCTTGGACTTGTTTTATTCAGGGTAGATGAGCACTTTTACTATGAAATTTCTCAGAAAAAAAATCAAACTAAAGAAAGAAACCAGCAGAACACATCCACTTCAGTAATTTAAGACTACAAAATGGAAATATAATAAAGAACTAGCAACATATAAATAAAAGAAATCTGATTTAAATTAAGAAATTGTTTAAATTTTAAACAGGATTTTTAAAAAATCATGATTTTTGTGCACCCAGAAACCACCTGATTTGTAATCTACAGTTACTACAAATTATAGGTGTGGTTCTGTGAGGAAAAACTCCCATTCAAATCAGTGGAAGGCCCATGTGTGGAGGGTTTCTGGAATTGTGCCTTAATTTTCCTCACTACTTCTCTGTATTCTTTTCTTTTTTTTTTTTTTTTTTTTAAAGGCTAAGTCATAAATACATGAATTGAAAATACTCCTTTCTCCTTCTGTAGTTACAGTCTGCTGTACGTAGAGTAACACTGGCACAGAAAGCAGTACCTGTGTTCTGTGGAAGCGCATTGAAGAATAAAGGAGTACAGCCTTTACTGGATGCCATTACTATGTACTTACCTGCACCTAATGAGCGTTCCTATGACTTTCTGTAAGTGTAATGAGAAGATAAAGTGATTTAACAACTGTTTGGGAAAATGAATTGGTAAAATTACAAGGAGAAAATGTAGAACTGTTTGTGATTTCCAAAATCGGGGTATATTTTTTGAAGTATTGAGGGGTTTTTTTATCCAGTAGGAATGATGTTTTACACCAGGTATAACACTAAGATATGCAGTCATAAAAATATACTTGAGTACTGAAGCTACTTGGTCAGTACTATCCAAAGCATCTGTGTATATTTTTTGACTGCAAAACTTGTTGTTTAATCATAATTTATAGCCGTAAACCACCTTTCATCTGTAGATCCAGGCGTTTTACAAAGGTGGGTGAATATTATTTCTCCATTTTATAGGTGACTTGCCAAGGTTATGCAGTGTGTTAGCAATGAAGCTGAAAATAAAAGCTAGGTCTCTTCCCTATTTAGTTCTCTAATTGCTGTTACTCATAGTTTAACCATAAAAAAGGGGGGTGGGGAAGAGAAGTAGGTAAGCCCGTTCCTTAACTGATTTGTCTGAGTGAACTGCTCCTATTTCAAAGCTTAATTTAAAAGCCCTACATGTGAATTATTATTTCATGGTCTTCCAGGTTTGATGCTTTTGAACTGGTGCATTCTGGTTGTTAATAGGAGCAATCATTGACTAGGCACTGTTCTGAAGTAGCCTGAGGTACTCCAAGATGACCTTCCTGCAGAGCACAAAGGGCCTTGCATGAGCCACCTTCTGTTCTTAATTTCACCTCAAAAAAGTATCTAACGTTCACCATGCTCCTGCAAAGCCCAGTAGGGGACATCTCTAATATCCACTGATTTACATCATATTTCAGCACAGCTATTTTTACTGTTAGGGGGACTACCTAGAGTAATCCTAATTGTGTAAATTTATATGCTGTAAAAATAAAAAAAAATCTGCCTCTGAATTAATAGTTACAAATAGGTATTGTAAATGAGTGGAAATGTAGCTAAAACTGGAACTAGGTTGTTTTTTGTTAATGAGTTGTATGAGGTTGCTCTTCTGATTCATTGGTTATGTTTTACAGGCCATGGTACAAAGATGACTTGTGTGCCCTAGCATTTAAAGTTCTTCATGATAAACAACGTGGGCCATTAGTTTTTATACGCATTTACTCAGGCACAATGAAACCTCAATCAGCTGTATATAACATCAACAAAAATTGCACGTGAGTAGGAGTGAGATGAGAGATGTTCATTGAAGCATTGGCATTTGTATTTGAGTAGTAGATAACATGAGTAATTCATTTGCAGAGAGAGAATGAGTCGCCTTCTGCTGCCTTTTGCTGACCAGCAAATAGAAATACCTTCACTAATGCCTGGCAATATTGCCCTAACTGTTGGGCTGAAACAGGTAAAGGAAGACATTTGATTCTCAAGAGTTTTATTTGAAAAGCTACTCACCACATAAATATGAGATACAAGATCACGTTTTCTTTTAGTTTCAAATATTTTTAGCTTTTAATGTTCTATTTAAATTCACTGTATTTCAGTTTTTTTTTTTTTTTTATAAATGTAGTTGATCTATTTCCTCTGTTTTCTGTATATGTTGTGTCTTTTAAAAATACAGTCGCTTTGGCATACAAGAACTACTAAAAACTCAGCTGGTGCTGAACAGACAGCTATGTAATTAGAGCTTCTCATGTCCTTCTGAATCTGGTTTTAATTTAATTATCCAAAGAGAACCTACAGTAATTACTTAGTTTTTATCATGAAGAGCGTTAAAAAACAATTCTTTGCAAACAACCTGATGTCATTTGATGTTTGGCGTACTTTAGAGTGCCACTGGAGACACCATTGTTTCATCAAAGGCGTCTGCTGTGGCTGCAGCCCGTCGAGCTGGAAGAGAGGTTGGGAGAAAGCCTGGCGGTAACAGTGAAGTAGAGAGCCTTTTATTAGCTGGCGTAGAGATCCCCGAGCCAGTCTTCTTTTGTACAATAGAACCACCTTCGATGTCCAAACAGCCAGGTACAACACAGCTACTAAAGCAGTTTTAGAGTTATACTATACCATACCCTTGATCTGTGCATGCGCATACAGTTGATGTGATGTAATTGAATTGCATGCATGGATCAGTAACACAATGAGACCCTTAATGATTTTGCATAAGTGCTAAATTTTATAATTTGTGTGTGCTTTGCTACTATTCTTTTCATGATTTTTTTTTTTTGGTCAACCCTAAAGATTAGATGATTGGTTCTTACCGCATTTTGGAAGGTGGGAGAGCTGCACTTTTGTCTTCCTACATCCGTTTCCACTTGCACAGTTAGCTTTGAGATTTGCAGCCTCTTGCTGAGAGAGCAGGATATTGTATTGTGTGCAATGTGTTTGAATGAAAGTACATTTCCAAGTCTAGGTACTTTCTCCAGTCAGCACTATCCACCACCCTCTATGGCCTTTATCTCCACTGATCAGGAGTCTGGAAGTTACTTACCACAATTCACCCACAGGTTTCAGAGTAACAGCCATGTTAGTCTGTATTCGCAAAAAGAAAAGGAGTACTTGTGGCACCTTAGGATGCATCCAGTGAAGTGAGCTGTAGCTCACGAAAGCTTATGCTCAAATAAATTGGTTAGTCTCTAAGGTGCCACAAGTACTCCTTTTCTTTTTGCAAATTCACCCACAGAACACTGCCTCTTTCATAAACATCTTTCTGAGAACCTGATGGGCAACTTTGGATCTTTGATTCTGGAAACCCTCTTTTCTCTCTCCTTAGCCCAACAGAGCCTAGATTTGTTGACTATCAGGACTTCTAGCATGTCCATCTGGTCTCCTGGATTCTAGTGGAATTGGAGGGAAGGGGTGCAGAATGATTGAGTGGATTGCCTGGGTATTGATCCTTTGATTACAATCTTTGGAAAAAACCTACGAAGTGCATAAACAAGTCAAAACTATTAGCTTATTACTTTATTTTTGGAGTTGCTGTCTTCTAGTAATTAGAGCAGAGGATGGGGAGTCAGGAGATCTAGTTTGTATTTTGAACTCCACAGCTGACTCGCATTGAAATCGGAGGCAAATCATTTAATTTTTGTGTGTCAGTGTCCCCATCTGTAAAATAGGGATATTTACCCTTCTTGGTAAAGTGCTTTCAGATTCTCTGAGGAGCTATAGAAGTGCCAAATATTACTCTGATGAGGCATTTTTTTAAAACTTGTATACCAGTTACTTTATTACACCTTGTTAACTCAAGAACCCATTACTTTGAAATGAGGCAAACTATAGTTCTATACTTTTCTTGTAAAGGCTGCCATGACAAGGTTATACTTTGTCATACTTTTCTTGTATGACTCTACAATACCACTGAGGATAGAATCTGATCTTATGGGTGAACACTTCAGATAGCTACTCACAGCTAGTTACAAGTTACTAATATATTTTTATATATAGCAATATTTGTTGTTTATACACAGACTTGGATAATGCATTGAACTGCCTTCAGCGTGAAGATCCAAGTTTGAAAGTGAAGATAGATCCTGACACTGGACAAGTAAGATTGTCAATACATTGCTGACTTAAACTTAGTTCCCTAATTCCTATAGTTATAAGCAGTTATTTTAGAGTTCTGAGATCCTTCGGTGAAAGGCACTATAAATGGTGTTCACATTATAAATGCAATAAGTATTGTGTATCTGATCAGATTAAAATGAAATCCTATAAACATGACCCATGGAGGAAGAGAGATTGTAAGATCACCTTCTTTATTTATGCTCTGTAAATAGCATATTTCTTATCAATTCTCTTTTTTTCTAAACTCTAAAAGCAAGTTCAAACGGTCTTTACATTTCAAAACTAATATAGGATGGCCTTTATTGTAGTAGCATCAGCAACAATTACCATCTCCACTTAAGTGGTTTTTTACACTTAAGTATCACCCAAAACAATACTTCCTAAAGTTTTCTTGGTCTTACTTGTAATATCTGGGCTTTTTATGCAATTTTTAAAACTTTCTTAAAATGTGAACAGGACAGTACATATAAGCGAATTCCTAGTGTAAATAGTGCATCCTAAAGGTTCCCATCTGTGTCCGCATATAAGCATGCGTGTGAATATTTACTTTTTCTCTCACTTTTTTTATTTGATTCACTTCTTTATCTAGACTGTTCTCTGTGGCATGGGAGAGCTGCACATTGAGATTATTCATGACCGAATCAAACGGGAATATGGCATTGAGACCTATCTAGGACCCCTTCAGATAGCATATAGAGAAACCATCCTAAACTCGGTCCAAGCCACAGGTAAAATGAAAGAATACAGAGAATATTAGTTTTCTGTCCTTGCAACTTGTTTGCTTACTCATTTTTAAATGGTCTTCTAATGACGTGACTAGTTAACATTAACTTTTAGATGATGTGTGGAGCATATTAACTGTTTCTCAGATATGTCCTTCATTTTACCATAGATACGTTGGACAGAACGATAGGAGATAAACGGCACTTGGTGACCACCCAGCTGGGAGTAAGACCATGGGTAGGAGAGAGATCATCAGTAACACCAGTCATTGAATATGCTGACAATTTCATGGAACCACTTCAGAAAGACATTCAAGAAGCTATAGAAAATGGAATTAACAGTTCATACCTTCAAGGTAAAGAAACCATTATGACAAATTTTTGTAGGTATTTGAATAAAATTTCACATTAGAAATTACATGGTCCGAGTGCTATTAGTAAGGCTAAGGTTTTGTCATGGATACTTTTAGTAAGTCATGGACAGGTCACGGGCAGTAATCAAAAATTTACAGAAGCCCATGACCTGTCCATGACTTCGACTAAAAATATCCCTGACAGAATGGGAAAGGAAGAGGATCCAGTGCCCACAGCTGCTCGGACTCTGGGTTCTCCCCACCCCTGCACCTAGTGGTGGCTGGGATCTCTGGAGTCCCCATGCCACCTGCAGTGGCTGGGAGCTGCATGGGGGTTACCAGCTGACCGCTCTAGCCCCACTGCCCCAGGGCTGAAGTGGAAAATGTTCCAGAGGTCTCTGGAAGGCACGGATTGCGAGACTTCCATGACATAATTGTAGCCTTAGCTATTAGAAAGAAGGGCTTCTTCATAGCCAGAAAACTAAAATGCATCATGGTAGCACTATTAAAATGACAGGGGCAAAAGCAAATTTTCAGAATTCCTTCATCTTCCACAGAATGTGCTGAATGCCCCTTGACTCGGGGGGAAATTCGGCATATTTTTAAAACTCCACTTTTTTTCTTCCTCTTGGGTATCTCGACATTGAACCCCACTTTGATTTGACTCCATATCCCACATGATGAGAAGTGTATTATTCTTATGATATTCCATAAACAATGCTGGTGTGATGGAACTGACCTGTGGGGTGGGAGGCAGTCATGAAAATGCCATATTTTTGCCATATTATCTGAATTGTTTTGCATGCGTTCAAATATATTATAGTCTCTGAAGGTGTAAAATAAAAAGTTTTGCCTAACTGCACAATATAGGCTTTTTTTTTAAAAAGGCATTAAACTGCTGTTCTATAACTTCATTCTGTGTTGACATGCTGGTTGGTGTTTCTCACCATCTCTCTGACATGCACTGTGAAGTTAACAGAAATCGCAGTCTCTGAAACCACCTTGGCCAGCACATCAAAGTGTGGGGTTCCAGTGAAGTTTCTTTGGACTGCTAAGATACTTGGCTCAGGACATCATGGAAAACACAGATCAGGAAATGGAGTGGAAGGGCAGTGTGAGGCAGAAGGGAAAATAAGAAATAATGGGGAAAAAGGAGTGTAGCAGTCATAATGCAAAGAGAGCACAGCATAAAGTCAGAGAAAATGACCGAGGGTTAATGTAGCTCTGAGTCACTGATTCAAATCCAGCCCATTGCCCGGTAAGTAACTGCAAATAATATTCATCTGAAGTTCAAATATGGATAAAGCATCAGACTCGTCAGACACATTGTACTGATTGATTATTGGTATTTAGTTTTATTACTAACCATCTCTTGACGTCACAAAACATTAACTATACTCTCACTATATAAGTTAATAACATGGCCAAATTGCTCTTTACTATAGGAAAGTCAATGGGAAGATGTGGTGGTAAGGGGAGAAAACTCTAGATGGAAAACATTGTAGAGTTTTCCCCATAATATTCTGACAGGAGCAGGGTTTGCTCCCCACTCCTGGGATGAAATAAGGCACCTGCTGGTTTCAGAGCCCCACTAACAGGGCCTACCTGACGTGTGTCTGCCTCAGGCATACATCCTCTCACTTAAATGGGAGTTGCAGAAAAGGTGCTCTGGTCATAATACCTCCTTTTGGGACTGCTGGACGGTGGGGTGGGGTTGTTTTGTTTTCCCCAAGTCCTGTCCTTGCCCAGTATGGGCCTCTGCCTACTCCCCCACACAGATCCATGTTTTGTTAAGAATGCTCTTCAGGATTTGGGTAGGGGAGAAAATGGTGCCAGGGAGACGGCTGACCTCACTCCAGGAGGGTTAAAATCTACATTTGGATCAGGAAGTCAACAGCTGCCCTTAGTTGTTATAACAATTTATTAAAAAAGTGCTATGGTGGTACATCTATTTTTGATTAACATGAATGTCCTTACATCTTTAATCATAATTAAATGTTCTCTCTCTTTATGAAGACACTTTAGCAGTCAAGTCTATTCTGAAAATGATTTCTTTTTTCTTTTGTAAGATTAATTTGGTCCACTTTTTTGTTTCTATAATACACTCTGGGAACATCAGAGACCTAATTCTGGCAAATGTTGCTTATGCTGTTGACCAAGAGGGATAATAAACCACAAGGCTACATGATGATTTGCCTATCTGCCCCTTTTGGCAAAGTTGGACAATGATAAAATGATTGTTAGAGCAAGAAATAAAACAAATAGCTTGTCTACTGAGTAGGTCAGAGGGGATGTCAGACCCTTCAGGTTAATCCCAAAATACTCTTTCCATAACTTGATAATGTGAAAAATGACATGAAACATTGTAATGCTAACACATTGTTTGTTCTTTGTCTAGGACCGCTCCTGGGATTCCCAGTTCAGGATGTAGCAGTGACTGTGTATTCCATGACCATGCACTCTGAAACTTCCCTGACTATGATTTCTGCTTGTGTTTCTCGTTGTATGCAAAAGGTATAATGCAACTAGAAGACTATTCTACAGTGCAGTTTCATGGGAAAATATGATGGTGAATTAGACAAAAATGCAGCCTTTAGGAAGATGGCAGAGATGTGTGCACCTTACTACTTGTTCAGAAACATATACAACACTCACAACATAAGGAATGTCTTGAATCTTCCTTTTTCCCTTGTTTGATGTCCTTCAGAATTTTGATTGTCACCTCTAGCCAGGTAGCTTCCAGCAAAACATTTAAACTCCTCCAGGTGTACGTGATAGGTCTTTAGTCTTTCATGTTAGAAAATCAACATAATTTTCTTTACATCTGGAGGGCTGTTTACCTCAGGAATACTTGGATTTTAAATTGTGTTCTCTTGGCAGTTTTTGTGATCTGCATTATATTTTGCATAGATTTAAGATATACGCTCAGTTACTTCTTATGTAGTGTCACATTATTTGTCTTTACTTTCCATCAGGTTTCTTGGAGTGTGTTCCCTGTAGCTTCTACTTTCTCTGCATATTATTAATTCACACATCCTATTGGAATCTTTCTTCTTAATCCTAAAAAATCAGTTCTGAATTTGTACTGATCTTGTGCACTTCTTTAGTGGCATGTACCACTTCCCAGCTTTGTATGTAGCAATATATAGTTACTGTCAGCTGAAAAATGAAACTTTTTTGCTATGGGCTTTGTAATGCATTCTTGGTAAAATTGGCTCTAGTGCTTAAAACTCGGTGTGAGCTATTGAAGTGCATAACCCGGTTGCCTGTGGTTACAGCACTAGTAATATTTTTTGCAAACTATTTTAGATACCTAGAGTATCAAATAAAATTGTGTAATCGATTGGAATGAAATAAGCTCTTTAACACCCCTTCAGGAGCTCCCAGATTAGAGCAGATTGCACTGTGGGAATATTCACTCAACTTTTTGGCATCAATCCTTACCATTTTGTGTGGTGTTATCCGGGTTGAATTAGTTAAGAATTGGAGATTCAATATAATATGGCTTGTTGCGTGGAGCGAAGTTGGCACTGTCTTGGGTTTACTAAGCTCCTCTATATCCTATATTTTTTCCTGTGAAAATATTTTTGTCCCTTTTAGCCTTGGTCTCGTGGGTCAATCTTACCTTATTCCAAAGTGAGGTACTGTACCATTAATTCACAACATCTTGCTTTTTTAAGCTTTAAAGCCTTCAATTTCAGCTACTTCATTTCTTTTAACATATTAACTTGCAATAGCCATTGTTTCACGTCACCATGTTTTGTTGTTCTCGCTGAATCACGGGATTCTTGACGTTTGTATACTTTTTTTTCCCTTAACACTTGGTGTTGGCATAATATAGTTTTCTACTGCTGTTGGGGGCTGAGACATGGCTGGAGGCCTCTTAGTAATAAATTGTTGTTGTCATCTCTGGTTCATGTGTAGGGAAAGCGAGGTGTGTGTGTGTGTGTATACACACAATTATCGGTATAGCATAGTTTCCTTTTTCTCTGATCTAATACACTCTGTAGGAACATACCCTATGGGATGTAGGGATTATGAGACAGAAGTTAGTTTCATTATATAGTCCACACCATAGAAGAATTGCATTTTTAAAAGGGAGCCAAGGGTAACTTATTTCTTTTTGATTTTAGGCTTTGAAGAAAGCCAGTAAACAACTGCTGGAACCCTTAATGAATCTGGAAATTACAGTGAGCGAAGATCTCCTCAGCGCAGTGCTTGGTGACCTTGCGCAGAGAAGAGGCAGCATTCAGGAAATCCAAATTCGTCAAGATAACAAAGTAGTGATTGCAGCTGTTCCCCTAGCAGAAATGATGGTATGTGGTGGTGATAATGATGAAAGAAAAGCAAAAAAGTGTGCCTGCCCACTTCTGATTCTTTTTGATATATGCAGTTGTTTTCACATGATGAAGTCAGGAACTGATATTGCTAATTTTGCCGAAGGTCTGGATTAAGATCTTGGGAGGATACAGTGTGGTTCACACAGCTATGAAAGAAAATGTCTCATCGTTTATGTTGTACTGAACCAACACTTGTTTCTGTAATATTGGGAATATGGGTGAAAAATAGTGCACTTATTAAAAAGGTAATGTTTACTGTATACTTTGTATTATGCTTGTGATAGTCTTTTCCCCAGCTGAATCACACTGTAGTAAATTAAATCAGGGCAGAAAGCTTTCTTTATCTCCACCCAACCCTAAATTTATTTGATTATAGTAATTACATTTAAACATAGTTTGTTTTTTGTCTAGGGTTACTCAACAGTTCTGCGCTCTTTAACATCAGGCTCAGCAACTTTCACTTTGGAACTAGCCAGTTACCAAGCCATGAACATTCAGGAGCAAAGCGCACTGCTTCAGAAGAGGAGTGGGTTGGTGTGATCACTTTTACTCCATGGGAGAACAACGAAGACCTGCTTTATTCTCACTAGAAAATGTTAGGGGAACTGTTTGCCAAGTATCCTCTTTCTGAAAAATGGGTTGGGTAAAGTGTGTGGGGTTAGAACGGTCTTAAAATAACATGCTACGGCTGTCCAGTGGTAAGTGGCAAAGAAAAAAGTGCTGTGAAATCCTGGAATTGCCTTGTTTGCATGAAGGGAGTTAAACCAGAGATAACTAGAATTGACTGTTTTGATATCCACCATATTCCGTGTACTACACTTCACATGCCTAACAGTTGGAGCTGATACCTTACTGGAAGACAACGTTCCAAATCCCCTACAAGAAATGATGGTGCAGCTCTTTCTGTGAAAGTGAGCACTACATGCAACTTACTGAATCATGTCAGAACTGTTTCACCTAAAGTATGTAGTAAAACTTGTTTTTAAAACATTTAATATTTCACATATAAAAGTAAACTTAACTATTGGCCACTCTGCTAGTCAGCGTCTTCTGTTGGTCTAGCTTCAACTGAACTCTGAAAGCTGCTATTGTCATTTAAGCTGTCCAAACAAGAATTACTTGCCTTAATGTTAGAATGTTGTATGGTACAGGGTAGGTAGCATATAAGGTGAGTGAGCCCTGTGTCAGCTTAAAAGCTTATGTCTTTTGCTAACAGAAGTTGGTCCAATAAACAGTATTGCCTCACCCACCTTGTATCTCTAATATCCTGGGACCAACATGGCTATAGCAAATAGTAGTTTTGGGCATCATGGTTTAACTACTGAAACAAATTTAGTTAAAGATAGAGTGAAGAATGTTGTATATGACAAAAACCTTTCGTGGAAAGGGGGAAATGTTGGTTAAGTGCAGGATCTTTCCACAAAAGATCTGTGCCCAATAATGCTACGCTTATTTAAAGAAAGAATTGTTTCTGCTGCTAGCATTATGTATAAGTGCAAAGTCCAGCTTATATGAATCTATGACCCTCAAGAGTAAATGAATGGTTTACGGTAATGTATATCCTATAGCCAGTCAGCTCTGGGTCACTAGGGATCAGAACTTGTCTACTTGAAATTGTCTAGTCTCATTCCAGTTCTTTGCAACCTCTGGGTTATTTGAGGTAGCAGACTAAGGATTGATAAGACACAGATAATGAACTACTTTCCTCTTCCCCTCATACTCTATCCAGAGTACATTTGAGGAAGCTTGTATTGCTAACATAATACTTATACAGCTGTAACAGATTAAGTGCTTTATCAAAAGTGTACTGTTCATATCCCTTATGGTCACACATTTATATAAATAACTTGCCTTTACCACTTAATGCTAGTTTACTGTAAGCTCTGAGCCTCTAGGCACAGTGTTCTGTTGTCCTCTACTGCCTAACGTTGAGTGGTCTGTCAGTTATCTCATTGTGATTGTCATGCTCAAGGATTGTAGAGTGAAGAATTCCAGTTGACAGCTATATGGATGGCGATATCTACGTCAGGTGCTGGTAGCTGCCATTTGGAATTATACATGTTCAAAAGGAATAAAACCTGCTACATATATACAGCATAACTACAGAGATTTCAGTAGATGAGTCCTTGATTCTCTGTACATCTACTGTGATTTATTATTGCATTAGTATCAACTTTTATAGTTTTAAAACATCTATGAAACTGTCAGGATTTTTTCTTTTTTTTTCAGTGCAAATTTCAGGTGCTGAATGTGTAAATTCACTTCCCACAAAGACACTTCAGGTAATTCGGTAAAATCTTGCTGCAGCAGTTACAGACCTCTAGCTTCATGATCACAATACCCAACAAAGAGGGGTTCAGCTGCTATTCCACGTCTGTTAAAAGAAAAAATGTCTTATACCATGCACGTTTATATATAAAGGAATTAGTAGTACAAATAGTAAGATGAGACAGTGTTAGCTTTGGTTACAGAGCAAATTAGGCCCAAGCAGTAAGAGAACTTGTCAGTCAAGGCAATAAAATAATGGATGACTTACTGAGGGGATGAAAAGATGGCCCCATTCTGAGCTTTAAAAGTCACACTTAGCTTATGAAGTATGCTACTGTTTGTGGTCTAACTAGAGATACTGGCATATAGTGAATACTAAATCTTAGTACAGGGTGCTCCATACTGTTGGAGGAGCTTCAGCATAGCCTGGCTGCCATTTGAAAACATACAGCATGCAGGAGAATCATAAAAAATAGACTACATTTTGCCTTTATATGTAGCTTCAGTTATTTTACTTTGGGCCAGTTTATAGTACAGCTGAAATAGTCTGGTGCACAAGACCTCTGTCTCAGTATAGCATTAATGTCTGTCAGATTCACTCCATTCCCACTCAATTCCTCTTCAGTCTTTTAAGGCTATTCTAGTTTCTGGGGTAGCAGCCTGTACAGGAAATAGTGAGGTCTTAAAATCAGACTTGATGGTGCAGTAGATCCTTGACTTCTACATAATACTTTAGTAATATTTGTGCAAATAAGATGTGGGTGCAGTATGGACTGAAGAAAGTTTGGGGATGGGAAGTGGTGGTATTTATAATCTCTGCTAAAATGATTAATGGTGCAATATTGTTGGCATCTAAATTAAGCTTCAAAGCTACAGTGAAAGAAATGGCATAGTCAGTATGTCAATCAAATCTTGCACACCTCTACAGCAGGTTTAATTGATTCTGCACTGACAGATTCTAGATAAGAGGCTCTTATCTCCCAACTCTGTGGAATGGGGGTCCAGCTATTCTGCTGCCAATCCTACAGGCCCATTGACTTTTGTTTTCCTACATAGGGAGTTACAGCTGTGGCTCTGAACAGTAGCCATTGCCCCTATATCACCACTGCAACAGCTGTAAAGGCCTTGGTGTGGTGGTTTCCTTCGTTTGTTGAGGAGGGCAGGGCACTGATTGTCTTCAAGATACTGGCTTCCTCTAGCCTCAGCACTACACCAGGTCACGTTCTGAATAAGAAGGGCTGCAACTTTTTCTTTTTAATTGAAGAGTCAGATACTGATGCAGCCACCCAGAAAGTGCAGGAACAGTAAATAGCTAGGAACTACCTCAATTAAATCCCTGGTAAAGAGCATTTACAATGGTAACTTTTTACTATTGGCAATTGTCAAGTCCTCCTCCCTCCAGCACCGTGGCATCTCAGCATGACCGTTAGTGGTAGCGTTTTTAAATTTGTTTAGATCATTTACATGGAGAAATAGTTCTGAGTAACCTCTGCATGATCCCATTTGTGGGATACACCTCCTGGCTCTGAGCTTCAGGCATGCTCTGTAAAAGCAGTCTGTGATGGGAACATTCAGCACAAGGTTATAAGAAACTACCTACCTCAGTTCCATTCTGAGGCTAGCTGCAAGTATGGGACCTTCCCTCGAGGCCTGGAAAGCTTTTCAGTTTTCCCCCACCCACCACTGCACAGACAGCTAGAGCAGCCCAAAAGTGGAGCATTAGCAAGGACATCTCAAGAACCACAGATGGGCAGCTTCAGTCCACAAATCCTTACTGCAGCAGGGCAAACAGGCTCACAGATGCTGCCTTTTTGGAGTTTTTGTTTGAACCTCTTGGCATCTAAGACACTGCTGGAAGGACAGGTTAGTCTACTAAAGTGCTTAGGTCCTAATAAACTAGACTATCCTCACCCAGTTTGGGTCCCTAAATCTAATTTATCTCAAGAAAGGAAAGTTTCAGCAGGTCCCACCTCACATAGGCAGTGTGTAATTTAAGGCCACACACAAGCACTCTGTGATTTTTTCCACACACTTCCTTTTCAAAAAGTTGGTTTTTTGCAAAGGGAAAGGAGGATGGTGGTTTTTCCTTTGTGTTCACAGTTGGTTTATCCAGCAGGCAGGGGCTGATATGAGGAATGCTGGGATCAAAATATAACCCAGAAAGAGGCATCTCACTCTCCACTAGTCTAGTCCTGCTGTTGAGAGGTGGCTTTGGCTAAAATAAGATCTCTCAAGGTGAGGATTTGTATGCCAGCAAAATCCACATAGGTCTGGAAAAGGAGGCTGAATCTACAGCACAATCGCTACTGTTGACACAACCCAGCAACAGAATGAAGTTCCCTTTATCTGACACTTCTGCACAAGTTTCATCTATGCCAACAACAGGTGATACACTGGAAAATAAAAAGTTCAGGTAAGTTTCCATCCTTATCCACCCAGCCTTAAAAAATGACAAGTTTCTCCAAACTGTTTTTTTTGCTGCGTTTGTTATCTCCTAGAGCATGTTTGTTATAAAGAAAAATAGTCAATCTACGGCTATGCTATGCTGAGTGTTGGAGATACAGTTCATTTCCCCCTCATCCCTTTACAAGACCCTGCTCAGAGCAAAGGTGGGATTCATTATTAATAAGAGGCACTGTAGATCTTTGGAGGAAAGGCATAAAGGCCCTCATTTACCTAAAAACTGTTTAAAAACATTTAGTTAACCTGGAAACCCTTCTCTAGCCCCTCAACTTGATTTGTTTAAGTGAGGTTCAAATAAGTGTCCACACAAGGGTTTACGCTAGGTTAAGAGTTTTTTTAATTGACTTTGGGTTAAGCTAGTGCAACAGTGCATTTAGACAGGGCCTAATGTATGGTACTACTTGTCCGGAAGACTGTCCTGGGGGTATCAAGTTCCAACGGCTGGCTGTAGCTTCTGTTATCCCTGTCCTCTCAGAGAGAGAGATTAGTTGGGACTCTTCACCTTTTAAAAAAATGGCATTCTTTCAGCATTTAGGCTAGCTTACTGAAAGGACATGTACTTTTGTGGTGGAGACAATCATTTCCAAATCTTGCCATTTGGATAATCTACTGTAGTTTTATGCTACGTATTGGCTGTGGTAGCTGCATATCATAAGCAGCAGGTAATAGTTGTTTATCTGTCCCTCGATAGGTAAGAGAGTCTGAATCGGCCATAAAAAGGTTTAGAAATACCTGGAAATAATGTGCAGTGCATTTCAATCCCTAGATTTGTAGATAAATAAGGCAGCCACTGATCATCTTTCAGCAGTTCTATTTTGGACTTTATACAAACTAGAGCATTCTTTTCCAATGTCCAGAAATTTGTCACTACACATTTGTCCTGAATTAGAACCCTCAGAGCAGGGAGATTTCTCTTTAGACCCATGACCTCCATGTATGTGACCTTGGCTGAGTGTTTGTTTGGTAGCATGAAGTAGTTTGTACAGACCCAATAGGTATGGCTTTTCTAGAAAGCTCCTGAAACTCAGTGCATTTGACAAGTGTGACTATGCAGAGGTACCACTAAGTAGAGAGATCTACAGTTATTGGTTAAGTAACTGTTCCATGCAAACCTTAGAATTGAAGACAGCAAGATAAATGCATTAAAACAAGACAGTGGATTGTTTCTAAATAAGCAATTTACAATCATACTTGATAGTGGATTGAAATTCATTAGTTCTAATGAATCATGGAGCTGAGGGTTACTCTAATTCCTGCTATCTTACCTGAGCATGCGACAACGATGTTTCACTAGTCTGTTATAAGCATCCTTTATGTTAGTCACATTTTCACTGCTCCAGAGCCTCTCCCCAACAGCACTTGCTCGAGGCCTGTACAAAGACATCCAATTCAGTCTAAGAATTTATTCTATTTCCCAGAATAGAATGAATTTAATACTGGGGCTTGAGCCCAGAGGAAAGTTTTTTACACTGACCAATATTAGCAACAAAGAAAGCTACAAAGCTCTGCAGTGC